CATATTATACCATATTATACCCATGACATATAACTTGTGGTGAGGCTTGAAAACACAGTAGTAGAGAAAAATGGGCAAAGATTGTATTTTTGCAACTTAATTCCACATCACTTCACTTTTTTGATTGCCCTACAAAGAGAAACCAAATGAGCTGGTTATTGATTGTAAATTCTCAGCCTTTATGGACCTAATATTATTTCTTTGTATTTGCTTGAGTAATGTTTATTTTCTGCATGAATCATGATTTCTCCTGTGAGCCATTCCAGCATAAACTGTGAATGTGTATTAACAAATATGTACATTTCTATTTTTATAGTCCATAGTGAAATGCCTGTTTTAAATAATGTACATGTTACCAAAATCCATCAAGAAAACCCTCAAGACAGCCTCTGTTTAAAACTTTTGTTGCTATCCTATTATTAAATTGTATTTATAAAGTTTGCTAGGGCCAAATCCATACATGGAGAATAATTAGTCCAATTTCGTTTTTAAGAAAGAAGTAACCTTTCAGGCATTTCAACAGCATACATCACATTAACAGCCTAGAGTATGTGTGTACATACATGTGTTTCTATTGTATATTTATATATGTATGTGGGGAGGACAGGAGTGAATGTTCACATGCATTGTCTTGTGTTTTCTACTACATTGGAGAACTTTTCTGAAGAAAACAGAATGAAACTAGCTGCTGAGACTGAGTTTCTGCCTTGAGATCTAGAGCAAAACAAGAGGCAAAGCAATGGACAAATCTAGTGGCTTTAGCCATTAACTGAATACTTGATGTCTTCCCTGACTCATATTTCCTTATGGATGTGTCCTAAGCCTGAAAGAAACACACTGTGGGTCTGCATCTGGTTCAGCCCATGCCTCTACTGTGGAGCTAAGCATTGGCACTGGAGTTGTACACAGCACTGCAGCCAGGAGGCCTCAGGGAAGTGTAGAAGGGCAAAGTAGCTCTTTGCAGTTCTCATCACAGCTGGATTTGCTGTCTACCTAACCAGCAGACTGACGGTTGAGGAACGAAGCTCATAATATGATTCACACAGATAGACCAAGGAATATTTTTATTTCCCCAGTGAGAAACTTTATTACTCTCTCTTCCCTTTTCCATAGTTAAATCAGGAGTTGTGTTCCCTGTTGCTGCTAAATTATAATTGTTCTTCACTCTGGTGAAGCAAATATTTGGCTTCTAAGCAAGGTATGATTTGTCATAGACTGGCAGTTTAAGAAGAGGCACTGTAGTACTGCTTGTCTGTGAGGTGGAATACGAGACAGACCACATAGTTTAAGATCAGAAGGGAATTTTCCCCCTTCTCTCAGGCCATGTCTTTGAATTAGGTGGCTCCCGATAGCCTGAGTTCTGGAAGACCTCTTGTACTTCTGCTGCAAACTAAGATCTGCAGGCTGGTTGAATGCGACTGCTGATATGCCACTAGCCCAGCTTGTTGAATTTCTCTGAATTTTGGAAGATTGGAAGTTTAAGGGTATTTAATTAATGTCTTCTAAGGACCATAAAGTATGTAAAGGACTGTTGCTATTCAGGCATTCAGAATTTAATTTTAAATGTAGCTGTCCAGATTGTAATTGGGCGTGTTTTTGTCCCCTAGTCTACTCAATTATGATTTTTATTTATTCATTTATTTTTTGGTACCGGGGATCAAACTCGGGTCCTTATGCTTGCGAGGCAAGCGGTGGAACCACTGAGCTAAATCCCTGGCCCTCAATTATGATTTTTATTTTACAAAACAACCCAAGACTGACTGTTGCTTTGGTTCAGTACCTTTTGAATTCCTCAGAAGAGTTCTTTTCAAAGCAAACATTCCAAAATGCATGTGGCTCTTCAATGGAATGTCTCCATTGTGCTTGAAGGATTTCTTCTCCGGTTATAATTCTAAATTATAGGGTCATTTGGTCTTCTTCACCTACCCCTAGCATCCTTACAAGAGCAGTGACTTTGTCCTCAGGTAGAGGATTTCTAACTTTAAAATAAGTTACAATTTATTTGAATTTATTCCTGAACCTATCTGGTATTTTGGAGTAGATCAAACCAAAAGAATGTTCACTGGTCTTTGTTAGGAATGTTTTGGATGGCTTTGAGAACTGTATTGACTAAATGCTTTGGCCACATTGAAGCATGTTGAGTATCACTAAGACAGCTAGCGCTTCCTTCCCCTCCCAGTGAAAACACAGCACACTGGAATCCCTCGCTTACCTGTGATGAAAGCAAGGCTGAGCGAGGACAGGGACAGTGAGGGAACCTGGGCTCTCAGGGGAAGGGGCTGCCCTCTGAGTCGTTTTTTCTTTTTTCCCCAAAGAAAGAAAGATAGGGGGTGTAAGTTTGTGAATTCAGATCATATTCTGTTACTATTTTAGCATCAACTGCTCATGTTTTAGAGAAACTGAATGTAATACATCTGACCAGGTCAAGTTTTAGGATATAGTTGAAGTTCTTAAATTTTTTTTCTATTTTATCTGAAATCTTTCTGTTATACCTAAATCAGAACTATCTTATTGCAGCAAATTCATATCACTTTTGCCAGATGACAGGACTTAGCACCATCATTTAGGATTTTATCATCACTTAATTATGATAAATCTGATTTGGTTAATTACAGAAAGTAAAGATTTAAACTGGATTTATCTTTAGTAAAAGACAAAACTTAAAAAACAAATGCTGTCTTTTACAAGAAATCAGTTGCATATTATTATATATTTTGGTGTTTTTTAAAGGAGGATTATTAAACCACATGGTATTTGTGGGCATTGAAAGAGTTTTTCTTTCTCTGAAAAGCATTGTACCATTATATTTTTATGAAAAATGTCTTTATCAGAGGCAAAAAACCAAAACAAAACAAACAAGACCTGAGGATCAATGGAACAGATTAGAAGATGAAGAAATAACTCCAAATACACTCAGCCACCTTATCTTTGAAAAGGTGCCAAACATCTTTATTGGAAGAAAGCCTCTTTAATAAATCGCACTGGAAAAACTGGCTTTCCACATGCCGAAGATTAAAACTAGACCTATATATTTCACCATGCAATAAACTAAAATCAAAATGGATCAAAGTTCTAAATATTAAAACAGAAACACAAAATCTCCTGAAGATAGAATAGGTAGAACTCTTGAAGACATGGGTGTAGGCAAAGACTATGAACAAAACCCTGATTCCACAGGAACTATCACAAAGAATCGACTACTGGAGTCTCATCTTATTAAAAAGCTTTTGCACAGCAAAAGAAATCACCAACAGAATGAAGAGTCAACTCAGTGTAGAAAAAAATTTTTGCCAGCTGTTCCTCTAAGGTCTAGAATCTAGAATATATAAAGAACTCAAAAAAAATCAGACTCCCCACATTTAAAGACTCAGTCCAAAAATGGGCATCTGAAATGAATAGACACTTCTCAGATGAAGTAGAAACAGCAAATAAATGTATGAAAAATATTCAACATCACTGATCATTTCAGAGATGCAAACTGAAACAAAGCTGAGATTCCATCTCACTCCAGAAAGAATGGCTATTATTAAGAAATCAACCAATAACAAATGCTGACAAATAACAAGGGCTGTGGGGAAAAAGGAACCCTTCTCCACTGTTGGTGGAAGTGTAGACTGGTGCAACTGCAGAAATCAGTGTGAAGACTCCTCAGAATACTAAAACTACAGGTTCCATTTGACCCAGCTATTCCCCTTCTTGGTATCTTCCCAAAAGAATTAAAAGCATCATACCACAGTGATATATGCACACTCATGTTTATATAGGCACAGTTGTTAATAGCTAAATCTTGGAAACAGCCCAAATACCCACCAACCCATGAATGGATAAAGATTTTTTTTAATACAATGGAGTACTACTCTGCCATAAAGAAGGATAAGCTTGAGACATTTTTAGCTAAATGGATGGACCTTAAGACCACACTGTGAAGTGAGATAAATCGGACATACATTTAAATACCACATTGTTTCTGTGGTGTGAGAAGCCAAATGTGGAAGTAAGGACCAATATGTATAATAGATATTGGGAAAGGGGAAGAAAATGTTCAAATGAGAAGGGGAACATGGGAAGGGGGAGAGGGAAAGGAAAGAAGGGACAAGAAAAAAAATAATAGAAGAAAAAAATGGAAGGAAAGCTTTTGTAAATAAGGATGGGAAGAGGGGTCGATGGGAGAGGAGGGGAATAGGAAAAAAAGAACCAAGATATATCATGTACAAGTACAAACTTCCTATGATGTGATCACTATGTGTATCTAAAATCTACTAATAAATTTTTTGCTTTAAATATACCCCCTCAAAATGCCAGGGATTTAGTTCAGTGGTTCCACTGCCTGGCTCCCAAGTGCAAGGTCCCAAGTTTGATGCCCAGTAAAAACAACAACAACAACAACAAAAAAACCCCAAAATATTTGAGGTGAAATTCACATCACATAAAATTAATATAAAATTGGGCCAGGGATTTAGCCCAGTGGCACCATGCCTGCCTCGCAAGCGCAAGGTCCTGAGTTCGATCCCCAGTACCACAAAAAACAAAACAAAACAAAACAAAAACACATAAAATTAAAATGTACAATTATGTGGCATTTAGTAAATACACAATGTTACACAACTCCCACCTTCATTATATTTCAAAATATTGTCCTCAACCCAAAGAAAGACCACAGGCAGCCTTAGGCAGAGCCTCCCTAGCCTTCCCCTAGACTCTGGAAACCACCAGGAATATCAACTTTTAGGCTGTACTAAAGAATTTAAAAGCTATAAAGCAGATATTTAAAAATACATATTCTTGTTTTCTTTTTGAGACAAAGTCTCACTATGTAGTTCAGGCTGGCCTTGAACTCACTAACTATGTAGCCCAGGTGAACCTCAAGCTCTCAGCAATCCTCATGTCTCAGCCTCCTGAGTGGTGGGACTAGAGGCCCAGGTAAGAAGACATTTTAGATTGACTGCACATTTTGACCTAGTCACATGCAAAAAAGCCCATAAGCATAGTTTTCGCAATAATTCAATAATCCAATTTTTATTAACTATTTTATGTACACCAATACCAAGTCGTAAAAATTATTAAAAACATCAAGAATCTCTTACATAGTGAACATACAAATACTCATTTATATTTTGAACATTAATAGTGAAAATAAGATGATACAATAGTTATAGCTACATAAAAATATGTACAAAGATTCAAGACAGACTTTGTTATTTGGCTTACAACATTATGTGTAGATACTACACAAAAAATAAGGATGTAATTTTCAGAAAAATGTGACCAAAATCCCTTTTCTTTTTAAAACTTAAAAATAAAAACTTGATAATACTAATCACAATTGACAGCCAAGTCTTGGAATAATTCCAATTAGGTAAACATTATACTTTTTTTTTTTTTTTGGCACTGTTGGGGCTAGAACCCATGGCCTAGAGAATGCTAGATGAGCACTCTATTTACTAAGCTATACTCTCAGCCCCAACATTATGCTTGTGGTGTGTGCATGTGCTGCAGACAGGTTCTCAATCTGTAGTACAGGCTGTCCTCAAACTCTTGATTCTCCTGACTCAGCCTCTTGGGTGCTGGGATTACAGGCACGCACCACCTTGCCTGGCAACATTATGCATTTAAAAAAATAAGGTTTACAGGGCCAGGGATTTAGCTCAGTGGTTTCGCCGCCTGCTGCGCAAGCGCAAGGACCCAAGTTCAATCCCTGGTACCAAAAAAAAAAGGTCACAGTTAAAAAGTATATACTGATGACATTTCAAAATTAATTAAGAATGGCTTAAAAAAAAAAAAAGAATGGCTTATCCATGTCCTTCCAGATTTTGGAAAAACACTAGAAAAAGTGAATGATGAAGAGATGATTCTTTGGAAAGCTACACCGGAAAACATCTTGAGGGTGACCCGGTGGTCAAACTTCAATGGGAAACTCATGACACACTAATAATACTCAGAACAAAGAGAGGAAGTAATAAGAAGCTGTTACACCTATTTTAATGTAGTTTTGAAAAAGGTTTCAAATATTCTCAGGGAATTAGTAAGAATGACTGATTTCATGATAACCTAAAAAGTGGTATATCACACACTACTATGGTGCTACCTTACTAAGGACATTTAGTTTTTTTCTTTTCTTGAGACAGGGTCTCACTATGTAGTTCAGGCTGCTCTCGAACTCAATGTGATTCTCTTGCCTCATCCTCCCGAGTGCTGAATTTTGTTCTACTGGCTTGAGAAGCAGCTTCCTATTCTGAGAACTGCCTGGTTTAATATAACAATCATATATAATTAAGTTAATATCATGAAAAAAAAAAACGACAGTAGCTTAGAAAAGGAGTAAGTACTCTTTCACTGGTTATAATACGAGGCTAAGAGGCTCAGGACTGGAGAGCAAGGAGCAGGGCAGTGCAGGGCTCAGGTACAAAGATACTTATCATGCTCAAGGAGAGGAAGAGCACAAGGGATCCAAACAACCCAAAATGGTAGTGGCACCTGGATGCGGAGTTACCACAGCGGACCAGGCATAGACTGGTGCATCACCCTTGGCCCATGTACTACAGGAACTAACCCCTAACTTCAATATCAAATTGAAAATACAAATACCTTCAACCATACTTACTAAAATTAGATTATTTACCTTCATATTACAAAGCATAGAAGGAAAGATTTATTTTTAACAGAGAGCTGAAAAATGATGTTTATTCTTAATTCATTTTAAAAACCCAAGGAACAAACACTTAAAAATCCTATCACTATTAGAATTTATAAAGGCACTTAAAAATTCCTTTCTAATCCAACTCAAAATACACTTGCCAACTACATTTTGAACAAATGCAAAAAAAAAAACCAAAACCCTTAATTCTGGTGCAATTGTTCATATAACCCAGTGATATTTACCATCTATGGAGCAGAAAGGTTTAAAGGACAGAGCCCCAACTTTTTACAGAACCTGAAAGTGCTTTTATCAGAAACAGGAATAATGTTAATGGTTTGCTCTTTCACTGACAACATCCTGTAGTCGTTTAAGCAAAACATCATCATTTTCTTGGCAGAGGCGTTTGGCAGGTGATTCTGCATCTCCGCTGATGGCTATTGCACGCTTCTTGGTTCGCTGATCACCTTGCCTTATCATGTTATTGATATCTTTCAAACTCTGTGCAAAAATAAAGGATATGTATGAGTAAAATGGGGAAAAGATGGAAATAGCAGCAAAGAACTATGTTAACTGCATTTTCCCATTCCCTATCTTCTATCCAAATATAAACAATGAGGTAGAGATAATTTTGAATCTAGACCAGCCTAAAAAGGGTGACTAGAACTAATCTTTCTGGGTGGTTTTAAAAGATGGATTTACCTTATAATACTACTTCTAGAAGTGTAGTGCCTAAACCAGAAGCAGCAGAAGCATTTAGGAACTTACTAGAAACACAAATTCTCAAACCTCAAGCTCCACTTTCTGAATCAGACATTCTGGGGCTGGGGATGAGTCCAGTAATCCATGTTTTATTTTTGGTGGGAGTACCAGGGAATCAAATCCAGGGGCACTGTACTACTTAGCCACATCACCAGCTCTCTTTATTTTATTTTGAGACAGAGTTTCACTAAATTGCTCAAGCCAGGGCCTTAAATCCCCCTGCCTCAGCCTTCCAGGTAGCTGAGGTACACGCCACAGCATCTGAGACATTATAATGCATATTATAATAAGCCTTCCCAGTGATTCTTTTGTTTTGTTTTTGAGACAGGGTCTTGCTTTGTAGCTCAGACTGGCCCTGAACCCATTATGTAGTCCAGGCTGGCCTCAAACTTGCAGCAATCCTCCTGCCTCAGTCTCTTGAGTGGTGGGATTACAGGTGTATGCCATCACACCAGGACCCCAGTGATTCTGATACTCCTATAAAGTCTGAGATCCTTTTCCTCAGAGTAACGCTTTTTAAACTTTAATGTGCTTACTAATTATTTGGGGATCCTGTTAAAATGCAGATTCAGATTGAGCAGGGCTGGTATGAGGCCTGTGATTCTGTATTTCTAACAAGTTCCCAGGTGAGGCTGATGCACTGGTTCATAAACCATATTCTGAGTTGCAAGTTCTCTGAGAAGTGGTCCCTAAAAGTTGTGCATCACAGTTATCCAAGGAGACTGTTATATTGAGAGTCCCACATCTTCCTGCTAGCACTCTGTGATTCAGCAGGTCTGTGGAGCAAGTGTCTCAACAAGCTGTGACTCATGATTCTAGAAGTAACTGGTCCACTCTTTGATGCCATGGAAGAATCTCTTCTATACATCCTTACAGGAAACTAATTTCTATGAGGAAAAAATATAAGTCTACATCATAGTCAACTTTCTTTGCTATGTATGTAAGAATGCAATGGGCACCTCTGGAACTGGGCAGTGAACTAATGAGCTAGGGAGCAGCCATTGCATTTGGGCAAATTCTTTCAGTCCATACTGATTCTGGCTTATAGAGACTTACCAAACATATCTGCTTGACTCATGGTTATAGAAAATTTGCCACTGCCCAAAGTTCATATTTTATTAGTAACTTTACAAAAAAAAGTAAGCAAGATTAATGATCATTAATTAGTAATCTAAACTCCAATTTTTTGGTAAAATTACTTAAAATCCAATTTTGTAATGTTATTTGAAAATCTGTATTAAAATCCAGCTTTTAACACACACACACACACACACACACACACACACACACAAATTGCTGGGGTCGGGGATTTAGCTCAGTGGTTCTGCTGCCTGCCTTGCAAGCACAAGGTCCCAAGTTTGATCCCAGGTACCAAAAAAAAATTGTTTTGGAGTAAAGTCTGTATGCATCTTACCTTAGAAGGGCTGCCGTTGAACTTGTACAGTAGAGCACTCCTCGGTGTAAGGCCCGATCCATTCTTGTGTGGGGAAACATAAATGGAGTGCTGCTGGGAAATGCGGCGCGGTGAGCCTGGCTGTTGCTTAATATGTGGAAAAGGAGATAGTGGTGGAGCATCCACCTAAAATATCCCAAAAATCAGATTTTTAAGAAAAAAAAATTTAAATCCCACCATATTTTTTATTTTTATGGCATCTCCCATCTAGGAGTCAGTTATATTGTAAAAACTTATTTACGGTTGGAAAAAGCAAAGAATGGTCCATTACCTGTTTTCAACAATTATTAACAGATAAGCTAGAATTTATTTTCTTGGATTTTTATCAGGAAACTCTGTAACTAGTAGTAAGAATTCTAGCAAGTCACCAGGAACATTGGGAACTTTGTATTCATGCTTCAAAGTAACATGGAGCTGAGTGGTAAAATGGGAACATAATATGCAAGAGGCCATGTAATCAATCTCCAGGACCACAACAAAAGTGAAGACAAAGAAAGTAGGAACAAAGAACAATCAGTGTTCTAACGTTTCCAATAAGAATTTCTCTAAACACACACACACACACACACACACACACACACACACGAACACACACAGAGTAACCAAGATAGTAGAAGAGGAAATAAAGACAGGGATTTCTATGAGCCAGAAGGGTGACTCCCAACATAAAACAAACCTGTAAATAAAATGGAAATGTAGAAGATTTAGAATTAGGGAAGAGATTTCATTTTTCTTTAATATTCTTGACAATAGAAATAGTGTAAGCGGAGAGGGCTCCTTAATAACCTCATCTTCATTTGAAGCTAATAAAACTAGTTTCAACTGGCTGATACTAAAGCTATTCATAGCAGAGCACATGACACAAGAGAGTTAAACTAGTGGTGTAGAATTAATATGGCTTCTGAGGCTAGCCACAAATCATATTTCTTGAAAGCAACAAGGACAGAAATGTAGACACACACACAGCTACAGGCTTGGCTGCATGCAGCTTTCATTAAAGCCTTCCTTTTTATAGGTGAATTCTGGTTTCATGGGAACTAACTTCAGCTTACTGGTAACACTTTCTCAGGTCTGTTGCAACTGCCAAAACTAAGGACTGCATAAACATTTCTTAAGCATTACCTCTATTAATGATCTAGGGCTGTTTCCTTTTTCTTTATATTGAAAAAAATCCACTTATCTCATAATATAATGAAAGAAAGCAAAAACAACAGAAAAATACTCTAATTAATTGTTGTAATATATATATGTTCCCATTTAGTCCTTCCCCATACATATATATAATTCCTAGCAATAAATTCACAGAATAAAATTCCAATGATTTCCTTTTTCTATGGTCATGACTTAATCTCTAAGTTACTAGTTACTGTCTGACTAATTTCTAGTATATATTCTGCTATGTAAAGCACCAGTTTTAAATTCTGAAACATTTACCTAGAAAAATATATTTAAGATAACCAACTATGACTGTAGATATAATAAAGTAGTAAAATGTAAAATGTACCACATGGTCCTGATTTGATAAGTCATATTTTAATGCAAATGACTTCACTCTTCCTACATATATTGTATTGTAAAATTTGATAAGGTCGCCTCTTTCTTCTTTCACTGGTCCACTAGAACAGTCAGTTGTTTTTGTGGCCTCTTCCAAGTCTGTTAAAAAGAATTCAGTGTTGTGGTAAGTGTACTTTAATATACAAATCGGTGATATGAATTATAGTATAAAAAAAATCACAAACCCTTAACAAAAAAACAATGTTTTTAGAGTAGGTTCAGCAACCCATCTGGATTACTTATAAATCAAACTGGAATCTAGAGAAATGTAAGCATGTGAACTGAAGGTGGTGCTCTTTTCTTTAGCAAGCAGGTTTTCCAACCAAAGCTTTGAGCTCACTGTCATTGGTGGCTCTTAAAGGCGTACAGTGCCTGGTTGGGGTTTAGCTAAGTTCCACGGTGTGGGGGGCAATGGCAAACTCTGAGCTTCAGATAACAAAAGTCCCTGCAGATATTCTTATTGGCTCTTTGAAAAAGGTGGAAACACTCATCAAGGAAGAAGTAATGAATTGCTTGTGTTCATCTTTCTGCAAATAATGGTGAGGGGCAGGTATCCTAAGGTCTTATTTTCCTATCCACAACAGGAACCCTAGTACTCAGTGTTTAGTTATTACTCTGAATTGTGAAATGACAGCCTCTATGGAGTCCATTCCTATGTATTAGTGTCACTCTGGGATAGCTTCTGAATCTAGGCAGACCTATACCCTACTCTTTTTGGGGGAAGAGTATTACAAACTCTAGTCTATTTGTACATACAACAATAATCATCTGTTTATGGGAGTTAAGAAAGCCATTGCCAATGAAAATGCAACATATGAAAAAACTTTCTCATTCTCAACATATTGTACTGCAAACATTGAGAACATGAGTAAACACATGTCTTTACCTTACAAAAACCAGAAAACTCAGACATGGTACATGGGTCCAGCAGTTCTACGGAATCTCCAAAAACTCAGTCCTAATTTGGATGTCTTTCCCCCCCCCCAGGGCCTCTTGCATCCTAGGCAAATGATCTACTATGGAGCTATATCCCCCACTCTGGATCTTTTTTTCTCTCTTGTTACTTTTAAAAGACCTTGACAATGTAGCTAAGCAAGTTAAGGAAATGCTGTATATAATACTGGAAATTCAGAATGCATGTTATAATAAAGGCTCTGAGAAGTACTTAAGTTGGCTGATTTTAATGCCATACTTTCCCCATTTTCATGCACAGTTTCTCTTCCCCTATAGCACTTACACAGTACTATTATCCTGGGGAACACTATTTCAAAGCATGCTTACTTGGTGCTATAGTTTCAATATACCCACCCAAACTCATACTGAAATATAATCCCCACTGTAAAATTTTAAGCGACCAGACAGTGTAGGATCTTTTTTTTTTTTTTTT